GGGAGGCTTTGATCCTGAAAAGAAACTTATAAGCACCCAGGTGGAAATTCCAGTACATATTGTCCTGGAAAAATAACAGGCGTCAGACATACAGCTCAATTAGGCTGTACTTTTAATGAATGACTCATCTAGAAAGTATCAGGTAATATATCATTCAGTACAGATCATTTTCTTGTGAACAATGGACACAACTCTCGTATTTCTCACTGGTTCTGAAGAGAGTATTTCTCTCCTGCCTCAAAATCCAGATCATTAACCTGCACTCTTCCTCTGCTGCGTTTTGTCTTTCTTACAATACCTTACAACACTGGTTTGACATGTGAAGATCCAGTAAGGACTGTAGCTGTTATGACTTGTTATTACTTAAGAGGTATAGAATCAACAGGGTCTCATTCAAAAAAGAGCCATTGCCTCTTGGAAACATGTCTATATGTTTCTTTCTTCTGGCGATGGACCATATTGAATACCTCTGGGCACCCCAACTGCATCTTTTTGCCAGAAAATGGCAGAGAGATGCTGCTGTTTATTATAAAAAGGACTCAGGTTGGTGTAACATCCCTTGTCATCCCAGCTCTTGGCCCCCTTCTTGCAACAGGTCCCACAGATGGAGTCCCACCTGGAGAGGCAGAGCCAGAGTGTGTGCTTGGAACTACTCTGGGACTCCATTTAGCCATCTGCACGATCGGCCTCAGAATAACTTGTTTTTTCCCAGAGGAAGCTGATCTAAATATGATGGCATAGCCCCAGGAACTGCAAATATTCCACTTGAAATACAACTACCTTTTGGTAAGAAACATTAACAAATGGGACCATTGACTTTTGTTTATCTGTCTTAAGTGAAGTGTCTGCTGTTTCAGGGTCACATCATTCACCATATTCACTATATAGTGCTATTTTGGGCACCAAACACAGACTGTAAATCAAAACACAACACCTTTCAATTATTTGCAGTAGCAAAATATATGTTGAAATCATATGACTGGCACAATTCTTGTTTTTAAATAAATAATATCTAAATGCTGCTTCATTTCTTCTTGCCACATCTCCCATCCCTCCTTCTCCATTTTAATTTGGGGGGAAAACTGGCATGATTATTCCAGTCTCTGCTGTGCCTGTGAAAAATTACCATCAGTCCAACTAAGTCTACCCACACCCACAAGATGCCAGAACTGCAGAAATTCTGCCGTGCTTGTTGAAATCTTACTATTCAGCAGTTTTGTGGGTTTCAGTGCTTTCAAAATATAACTTTCCGTGCTTGCTTGTTTACTCTGGGGTCAGCACAAGGTCTAGGAACCACTGCTGACTGTTTTTACCTTCATTTACACCTCTCTTCATTTTTTAAACTCAGACAGTGGCATCACCTGAGCCATAGATTTTATATCTTACACTGTCCAATGCTGGCTGGCTTTGACATTATCATTTATCACTTTTGGTTTTAAAAACTTCACTTGGAGGCTTTAAAGAGTCACTGTATATAAAAGTAATAGCAACTTCAGATATCTGTACTTAGTTTCCAGCTCAGTCAAGACTTTTTGTCTCTCCTTTAAAAAAAATTATGCACTACATCTGGGATGCTGTCTCCAAAAAAAAAAAAGGGGGAATACAGCTCATTTTCATTGCCCCTTTTATTTGCTTGTTTGCACAGTCTTTCACCAATGTTTCTTCAGTTTGTCTACAGAAGACAAAAATCCAATATAGGCTTCTAGCCACTGGTGTAATATAAATAGCAACAAGAAAACATATTGGATTCTGTATATTTACATGTCCAGGACTCCCAAAGGATTTAACTGAAAGTTCAGAAGACACAACTTAGCCATAATACACTCTCAGATGGCTCATTGCACACAGTCTTTCAGAAATCAATTTTGTTTAGGATTTTATTTTACTCCCTGTGACAAAATAGTTACAAGACTCCCTGCTTCTGTCTCTCTTTGTATGTTTTTCTACTCACAGAATCTGTTCAATAGGGTGGACTATCTTTTCCCTTGTTATTTCATTGTCCTACAATAACAAAGATTAACTTTACACTTCTCTTCTTACACAAAGATAAGTTGTTCTCAGAAAAGCTGCCTGTTACTGGTTTTTGCTATAATTGCTTTATTTGGAGATTACCCTGGGAAACAGCCCTTAAAAACAAAGGGGTCCAGGAAGGATGGACACAATTAAAGAAAGCAAGCTTGAAGGCACAGGAGCAGGCTGTCCCTTTGTGCTGAAAGGTGAGCTGGTGGGGAAGCTGACCGGCCTGGCTGAACAGGGAGATTTTGCAGGAAATTATGGAAAAAGAGAAAGTCTATCACCTTTGGAAAAAAGGGCAGGCAAATCACCAAGTGTTTAGGAATGTAGCTAGGTCATGTAGAAAGAAAATTAGAGAGGCAAAAGCACAATTTGAACTTAATCTGGCCAATTTCGTTAGGGACAAAAATAAGTGTTTTTATAGATACATCAGTAGCAAAATGAGGGACAAGGAAAACCTTCCTTCTTTGTTGGACATGGAGGGAAACATAATTACCAAAGACAAGGATAAGGCTGAGGTACTTAACACCTGCTTTGCCTCAGTTTTCAGCAAGAAGACAGGTTGTCCTCACGACCTGGCTTCCTGGGCTGGTAGACAGCTGAAGTCCCCCTGTTATCCAGGAGGAAGAAGTCCCCTGTTGAACCACTTGGATCCTCACAAGTCTGTGGGACCAGATGAGATCCATCCTAGGGTGATGAGGGAGCTGGCAGAAGAGCTCTCCAAGCCACTCTCCATCATTTACCAAAATTCCTGGCTCACTGGGGAGGTCCCAGATGATTGGAATCTGGCAAATGTGATGCCTATCCACAAGAAAGGCTGGAAGGAATACTCTGGAAACTACAGGCCTGTTGTCCTGACCTTAGTGCCCGGCAAGGTTATGGAACAGATCATCCTAAGTGCAATCACATAGTACCTACAGGATGGACAGGGGATCAGAGCCAGCCAGCACGGGTTTAGGAGGGGCAGGTCCTGCCTGACCAACTTGATCTCCTTTTATGACCACATGACCTGCCTAGTGGATGAGGGGAAGGCTGTGGATATGGTCTACCTGGACTTCAGCACAACCTTTGACACTGTCTCCCATAATATACTCCTGGAAAAGCTGGCTTGGACAGGGGCACTCTGTGCTGGGTCAGGAACTGGCTGGAGGGCCGGGCCCAGAGAGTGCTGGTGAATGGGGCTGCATCCAGCTGGCAGCCGGTCACCAGTGGTGTTCCCCAGGGATCAGTGCTGGGCCAAGTTTTGTTTAACATCTTTATTGATGATCTGAATGAAAGGATTGAGTCCACCATTAGCAAACTTACAGATGACACCAAGTTGAGGGCGAGTATCAATCTGCTGGAGGGTAGGAGGGCTCTGCAGAGGAACCTGGGCAGGCTGGATAAATGAGCTGAATCCAATGGTACAATGTTTAACAAGAATACGTGCTAGGTCCTGCACTTTGGCCACAACAACCCCCTGCAGCACTACACCTGTACCCAGGTGGCCAAGAAGGCCAGTGACATACTGGCCTGTATCAGGAACAGTGTGGCCAGCAGGACCAGGGCAGTGATTCTGCCCCTGTACTTGGCACTGGTGAGGCCACACCTTCACTGTGTCCAGTTCTGGGCACCTCAGTTTAGGAAGGACACTGGGGTGCTGGAAAGTGTCCAAAGAAGGTCAATGAGGCTGGTGAAGGGACTGGAGCACAAGTCCTTTGAGGAGAGGCTGAGGGAGCTGGGACTGTTCAGCCTGGAGAAGAGGAGGCTCAGGGGTGACCTCATCACTCTCTACAATTACCTGAGAGGAGGTTGTAGCCAGATGGAGGTCTCTTCTCCCAGGCAACCAGCAGTAGAACAAGAGGGCATGGTCTTAAGTTGTACCATGGGAGATTTAGGTTAGACATTAGAAAGGTTCTTTACAGAGAGAATGATCAGACATTGGAATGGGCTGCCTCGGGAGGTGGTGGAATCATCATCCCTGGAGGTATTTAAGAAGAGACTGGATATGGCACTTAGTGCCATGGTCTAGTTCACAGGGTGGTCTTGGGTCATGAGTTGGACTTGATGATCTCAGAGGTCTTTTCCAACCTGTTTGATTCTGTGCTTCTTAAGAAGGTGGAATTACCTAATTAACAACCTTTATGCCACCACTGCTAAAGTAGTCTGGTGACAGACAATGTAAAGGAGAATATACAAACTGCTTTAACAGAAGTTGTCTATTCCTCATTGGTGTAACCATATTTAGCACTGGTTGAGGTAGGCAGTGAGGCAGAAGTAGCCTACATAACAAATTCCTCTCAGCTTTATTTGCTTTTGCTGTTTGTCATCATAAGACAAACAGATATCATTATTTGAGCAACAAATCAAGCTTTTACATACTCAGCTTCAGTGATCTGTGTCCTTTTCCTGTTTTGTCAACAAGGCAGTATCCATGTGAGGGTAGTGTATTCCAGGAAGCCTGTACCAGAGCCTAGCAGAAAGCTGCCTGAGGTTTTCCATATTTTCCATACAGGAAAAAAAGCGTTCATGAAAGAAGAAGGCGAGTTCAGCAGAAACAGCATCTCCCCTTGGACCTATGCTTGTCAGCATACAAGTTTTAGCAGAAGCTGAGATTGTAGTGACCCAGGGGAGACAGAAATAATCTTTGACGTATCATAATTACTATCTCTGTCATAGTGCCAGATTTATCCTATAATCCACCTCATAAGTCAAAATCACGTTTTTCTGTTATTCTAGACACACAGATTCATTGCCTACCTGTAGCTGGTAAATTGCCTCCCTCAGAGTAGTAGCTGTCTCATCAATCTGTAGCTGTGATCCTCTCATAAAGTAAATTAAGTTCCTGTTTTTTGAGGGACATAAATTGTATTAATTAATTTTAAATATATTTTAAGATTTCTTAATATTCAAAACTATTTCCTGATATTTAACATTTCTGGATTTTAGTCTGTCACAGGCAGTAAATTATTCTGTAATTCTATTTAAGGATCTCTGAAGTAAAATTTGTTTTAATATTCTGGAGTTATAGTTCTTTACAGAAACAAAGAAACATAACTTCATATTGTATATTGTGTAGTGTTATTTCTTATCAACCAAGGCAACATATTAACAATTGAAGTGTGTGTGATCTCTTTTGACTGTTAAAAATATCTGTTGCATGAGTGTAACTACTAAAAAGTTGCAGAATTTATTTTAAAAATCATCAAGCTTATATTTTTATTGTCTATCAAATAGTAAAAAAACACAGTTTTTCTAGCAAAGAAGAGTAAGTTATTGCAGCATTGTTGCCAGTTATTGCCAGTGTAAGTTACTGCAAAATAATCAAAACGTGTGGTTTGCTTCTGCCCGTTTCTTCCCACAACCTATGTCAATATTCAGAGATCTCATGTTTATATGAGGATACAGTTTCAGAGCCCTCAGTTGGAGAACGGATGCCTAAACCACAGTGTTGGGGAGGAGAGAAAAACCAGCCGTCTAAGCATGTTTACTTTCAGTGACAAGGAAGCTCTAACTTGTCCCTAAGTGGTGACTCACTGGGCTGGGACTATAAAAGTAAAGGTAACTGCTCTCTGAAACATCAGGGCTTCAGACTTCAGAAACCCAGCATGATGCAATCAAGACTTTCAGCTGTTTTCTTTTTCTTGTTGGCTTTGTCCTTTTGCCTGACAATCCCTATCCCCCTTGAAGACAGCCATGAATTCACAGAGAAAGACCTTCAGTTTGCAGAGGTATAGTACAAAATAGTTAACTCACATGTCTAATAAATAGTAAGTTGTATAGTTACAACTCTTTGGAAACTAGTCTTATTACTTCTTTTCCCCTCTTTAGCGCTATCTCAGGACTCACTATGACCTCCGTCCGAATCCTGCTGGCATAATAAGAAAGAGTGGTAACACAGTGGCATCTAAACTTCGGGAAATGCAAGCTTTTTTTGGCTTGGAGGTGACAGGCAAACTAGATGAAGAAACATATGAGCTGATGCAGAAACCAAGATGTGGCGTCCCAGATGTGGGGGAATATAACTTTTTCCCTAGAAAACTCAAATGGTCAAAAATGAATTTGACATACAGGTAAATGCTCAGTATTTTGAGTGTTATTATTGTTATAACTTTCTTTGCAGGTGCCTTGTCCAATAGGTTATAGTATATGAGGTTGATGTGAGAAGGACGCAGTTGAGTTCGACAAAATTAATGCTGCAGTTTAAAACCCTTACAGCCTCACTTTTGGAAAGGTGCCCTCAGCCCCCACTGCAGCCCAAGGAAGTAAACATTAATTTTTTCCATTGTACTTTCTTAGGGAGGAAAGCTGGTGTGGTGTAAGTAGTAATTAGTAACTCCTCATCTGGCCTCTATATAGACACTCCAGACACATCCACCCAAATGAAAGAAGAGCAGGGACTAAGATCATACATTTCTCTAGGTCACTCCTTAGCTCTTTTTGAACCTGGTTTAGTGTCTGCTTCACATAGGTCTTGTCCCAGACAAAGCAGTGTAGATGCAAACCAGTCTCTGCAATGCGGCTGTGAGAGCATTTCACATTCTAGGTGGAGATGCCTATGTTTGGTCAGAAAGATCACCGTACCATGACCTCCGAAAGCTGACCTTAGGAAGTGAAGGTGCTGAAAGTTCATATGGTAGCTCCTTCTCCTTTAATTTTGCAAGGTTGTCAGTCAGTTGTTTTGACTAGCTGTAGCCTGAGTTTATTTAGCAGTTCCAAATATGAAATCACTGAACTCTATTAGTTTGGTAGCTAGTGATAAGTATTAATTTAATATGGATGATTCTAGTTTATAAAAATCTCTTTGGATTATATTTTGCTCCTCCGGGAAGTGAGCATCATGAGATATTTTATATGACATTTAAACAATTTTGAAGTTACTGATATGATTTGACTTAATACCAAATATATCTGTTATTTTCTATATTTTCTGATGCATAAAAAGAATTAAATTAATGAAAGAAAGCTGTTGGATCATTTTAAATGTCTCTGAATTATGTTAACAAAGATAGAAATGGTTTGTTTTGGTTGTTTTTTAATACTGTATGCAGTTGCCAAGCTCTTTGTTATACGATAAGAACATAAGAAAAAACATAAACTTTTAATGAGGTGTGCAGTCAGATAGAAGTGCACTGCACACTTCTTCAATTCATACAGTTTAACTGGAGATATTAATCTTCTTGACAGAATTATGAATTACACTTCAGATCTGAGACGTGCTGAAGTAGACAGAGCTTTCAAAAAAGCATTTAAAGTTTGGTCTGATGTGACACCACTGAACTTCACCAGAATACGAAGCGGTATAGCTGATATCATGATCTCCTTTGGCACTAAAGGTAACACAGAACTAATTGTTTTTACTTTATAGTAGTATTCCTCCAAATAAGATGGTGTAATTAATTCAATTGTTTTGAATTTTGTTTTGTAGAACATGGTGACTTTTACCCTTTTGATGGGCCCTCTGGATTACTGGCTCATGCTTTTCCCCCTGGTCCAGATTATGGAGGAGATGCTCATTTTGATGATGATGAAACTTGGTCAGATGATTCTAGAGGTAACAGAAGTTCCTGAGATTATTTGAAATGGTGATGGAGTTTTTTTTTTTCCCAGTTTGATTTCTGTGAACAGTTTGTTTTGCCTGTTTACTGTTTCTTCATCATTATGTTCACTGTTCACACACAGAAAGCTGGGTTTAACCTCCAGTCATAAATAGAATTTTTACATGTGCCTAGAATAAATTCTAAGATATAAATCTCCCAAGTGAAGTGATTAGAAAAATGCCACAAACAAGGGATTTTTTCATTTTGACATTTCGCTGAGCTCAAGGTGAGCTAGTTCTGACCACAGACTGATGGGAATTGCCTTACTGAAGCCTGTAGAAAACACAAAACTCAGCTGCCAATTTTCAGCTTGCATTTATCTTGAAAATTCATCACCTGGCCTATGCAAGACAGAGCTTTAAGAGAAAAACAAACAAACAAACAAACAAAACAAACAAACAAAACCCCACCCAACAATTTTTTTTTTCAGCACTGGATTAGGTCACCCTCCTGCCACGAAGGCTAATTTCTGCAATGCTGAAAATAGTATGGATTTTCTACTGCAGATGAATTCCCAACAAAAAAATGTCTTATTTGAGTAGGACCAAGACTTCACCCCAGAGCTTTCCTGTGTTGCTAAGAAATTTCAAGAAATCTAAATCTGCCTAGATAGCAATGTTGTCAAATAAGATTTAGTCTGACCACCAGCTATGAGATACTAAATCAATTAGGCCCTTATTAATGCAGAACTCATGGCAGTTTGAAAAAGGCAAGCAATTATCTCTAGTGGAAGGTGTCTCTGCCCATGGCAGGGTTTTGGAACTAGGTGATCTTTAAGGTCCCAAACCATTCTATCATTTTATGAATTACATATAATTTTCCCATTTATTCAGTTGTCTCGTTCATTGTCCCATATGTTAAAGCACAGTGTTAAGATTAGTTGATTATTCCAAGTCCCCTTTGGTGATGCAAGGAGATAATATATTTACTTTTGCTGTGGGTTTTTTTATAGGCTATAACTTGTTTCTTGTTGCTGCCCATGAATTTGGTCATTCACTGGGACTTGAACACTCTAGAGACCCTGGAGCTTTGATGTTTCCTATTTATACATACACCGGAAAAAGTGGTTTTGTTCTTCCTGATGATGATGTGCAAGGGATCCAAGAGCTCTATGGTAAGTCTGTATGATGTATATTTCCTGTGTCATTATAACCTGTTACAGATGCACTGCGCAGTTACTATAGAGCAGCAGATGCTCAATAACAACAGTCATCACTGCTTAAGACCAATTCATTGCAACAGAAAAGGTTTACATTTAATAGCTCAGAAGGGAAAAAAAGGAAGTAATCTTCCAGAGGACCATTGGTCACTGTGTTGTCTCCTCTGGTAGTAGGTGGTGGATGGCAGAGTTTTTATAGTTTTTGACCTGCCTCAAAGCGAAGGTAAAATGAGTCTAAAAGGAGAAACAGAACCATCTATGTTTCTTCATAGAAAGAATAAAAATATTGGAGGACCTTTAAACTTGGGATAAAACAAGACAATCCATTGAATATCTTTGCAGCACAGTTGAACTGCAAAGTCTGTGAATGTGTTTGGTTAGAGAGGAGAGAGAACAGACTTTCCCTGGTATAAATGTTTTTACACATTATATTTATGTTTATCACGCTCTTTGGGAACTGTTCCATGTCCTATTCAATGTCGTGAACAACAGAAGGAAAAAACCACTAGCAAGCTTAGATCATATGTTATGGTTCTAGGTGCTGGAGACAAAGATCCCAACCCAAAACATCCCAAAACACCAGAGAAATGTGATGTAGAATTGTCACTTGATGCAATAACAGAACTCCGTGGAGAGATGCTGGTCTTCAAGGACAGGTAAAGAGATTTCCATGTTACAGATGGTGGGTACTGGATAAAATTTTGAGGAAGCAAAAACACCATTTCAGTTTTTTAGTAAAGATTTGAGTGAACATAAATTTAAAAGATCACAAGTCAATATAGATGTCTCTAAGAAACTACATCATATGTCTTTTTAGGCAGGATTTATAATACAAGTGCAGACTTCACAGCCCAGTAATTTGAAGATAATATGGCTGAAGACTGGCACTTTTTGTGCTCATTTTGCATTTCATGGGACTTTCTTCAACATAGACAAATCTACTAACATTTATTCAGAAACTTTACATGGGACAGCTGTGTTTCTCGTATTCTAAATTTGTTATTGTTTGAGATGATCACTGTGGGAGTGACAGAAATTATCTGCAACTAGATAATTATGAGGAGAGAAAGGTCTACAAGGAGCTCTATGTATTAGATATTCTGTTATGAATAAAACATTAATTCATCATTAACTAATTTTTACTACAGCACATAAAAGATACTTCTATTTTATGGTGTGACAAGAAACATAAAATATGTTTGCTTTTTCTGAATTAGGTTTTTCTGGCGACTGCATCCCCAGATGGTTGAGGCAGAATTGGTGTTACTTAAGTCATTTTGGCCAGAGCTTCCAAATAAAATAGATGCAGCTTATGAAAATCCCATCAAAGATCTTGTGTTCATGTTTAAGGGTGAGTTTTCAATTTTGTTGTTGTCAGAAAAATGTAAATATTTCATTAAGCTCAGTAAGTGGTGTAAAGGTAAGAACAAAACCTCCTACCTTCCTTGATCAAAAAGTAAACTGTTGGTTTCACCTCATGCACATCTATACAGCTTTCAGGGAATTAGGAGATGTACAACTACGTTGTGTAAGTTCATAGCATAAATAGCCTAATACCTTCAAAGTATGTGACCTAAAAAATCTATTTTTGTATAACATTAGGGATCACAGCATCCTCATTTCATTCTGCTCTCAAAGCTGAATCCTTACAAAAGACTCACCCATACATTGTTCTTATTTTCAGGAAAGAAAGTCTGGGCTTTGAATGGCTATGATATAGTTGAAGACTTTCCTAAAAAGATATATGAAATAGGATTCCCAAAAGAAATTAAAAGAATAGATGCAGCCGTCCATATTAAAGACACTGGCAAGACTCTCTTTTTTACTGGAAATAAGTACTGGAGGTAAGCTGGAGACAGATCGGTGCCCCTAGTCATAACCTGTCCAGATATATCAAAAGATCAGCTGGCTGGTTCAAATCAGGAACTTGGCTCTCGCTCACGTTTCCAGTCTGTGGCTATAGCTGTGTACAATATCTTATAAAGGTATATGGAAGACTTTTATAAACATATGGGCACAGACTTTAAAAGCTGAATGAGTGAAAGAAAGGAAAGGACCATAAAGTGCTCTGATCCAGGAGAATTTGTGATGTGGTCATGTCTGCAAGACAAAGTTCCCATCTTGCTACCTTGAGTTGCTTGTGTGACATGAAATGGTATCGGTACTTTGCGTGCAAGAAATCTGTCCCACCACAGGGTGTCTGTTTTTTTCTGTCTATGAGTGCAGCTCACAGCCAGGTCTCATGCATAATTAAGACATTACCATCCCTTCACAGTATCTCTGTGCCAGCAGCCTCGGGATAGGCTTGTAGTGCCAGTACATCCAGACACAATAATCTCCGTGGAATACATACTTTATAGATCAGTTCTGAAAATGTAACTGTATTAGTTTTTTGTTTATTCCACTTCTGGTGGAGATGTGCCCTGTTTATTGCTCTGAGTTTCATTACTGCGCTGGACAGAAAGCATCTAAAGGCTGCTGGCTGCTTCAGGTGTGCGTAACTTCAAAGCATATAAAGGGTTTACAGATAAAAGTCCCAGGCTGCTTAAATCCTCTTATTTTTTTTTCTTTTATGTTTAATATAGTTATGACGAAGAGGCAGAGGTTATGGAAGCAGGGTACCCCAGGCTGATTGAAGAAGAATTCGCAGGAATTGGTGATAAAGTGGATGCAGTCTATGAAAGAAATGGTACATAATCTGATAATGAAACTTGATTACAATCTGCTGCCATTGAAACTTGAGATTAATGTCCTGGGGAAAACTCTGTCATTTGTAATTTTGATTTTTTCACATCAACACTTCTTTTCTTGGCTGAATCAATTTGCTAATCTAAATTATGCTCTGGCCAAAAAAAAGACCTGTCTCCTTGCTTAGGGAACCTGAAAGGATATGCTTAATACAGACGTATTATAATGTGTCTGTTCCTTCAAATGGAGCCCATTCCTATAAAACTTTTCAAGGAGTGTTTCCAAGTCAGACTCTTAACCATTTACATGCAAACACTGTATTTTCTTAAGCAAGTGCTGTATGGTAAGAAGATGGAGAATTTGACACAAGATTAAAGAATATCAGTTATTTTAAAACTCTGATCCAGGTCTAGCAAATGGAATGCGGATCTTTAAAAAAATTAGCTCAGCATTCTAAATACTAAAATGTTGCATTTAAAAGACTTACTAAAAATGAAGACAAATAAGATAATTTCTATTTTAACAATAGTTTTAATATGACAAAACCATTTTTCTTTGTGTTAATTCATTTTAACATTCCTTTTCCTTAGGTTATCTCTACTTCTTCAATGGATCACTGCAGTTTGAATATAGCATCTGGAGCCAAAGAATTGTCCGTGTCCTGCATACTAACTCCCTATTTTGGTGCTAATTACAGCTGAGTGCCATGTCATAAGCTGCAAAGCAGCTTGTATTGCATGGAAATAATAATAATGTGGGCATACAGATTTACTAGAGGACAGTGAGGTTCCATGAGCAAGCACTGGGCTTCCTACCACCAAATGTATACTGTATATATGAAACTATACAGCTGCGTGCCGATCTGGAACTGAATTAACTTAATAGGAAAGGAGAAAATAAATCACTAGCGTTTCAAGGGACATTGCACCACTTAAAGTTTGTCTAGTATTGAAGTGAGATGCTGGATACATCACACATGATCATGAGTGCTTCTAATTCCTGGTAATCTGAGCATGTCTAGCATCTTTCAAGGATATCCTAGCATGTCCCAAGAAATACACCTGATAAACCCAGGAGCATTATATTTTTAAAGTAATCCTTCACCTCTTTTTGAAATTCTTTTTAATGTACTAGGAATTCAGGTGTGTAGTGAATGAGTGAGGACTGCAGGGTGATTCTCTGAGCAGGTAACACCAAGCCACAAAGATGAAGTTAGAGAATTCAAAGGTGTGTGAAAGTATCTTAGTTTGACTGGGAATGTCCCACTAGAAGCAGATGCCCGTATCATCTCTAGAAGAAGAAGAAGGTACAGAAGCAGTGAGACATCATTCCAAAGGAGGCAGAAAACAGGAAAAGGGAAAACTACTCCCTGCAGAAATCATCATCTTGGATGATACTGGGGAAACCAGAAAGAAGCAGCAACAAGAGAGAGAATCATGCAGGTTGAAGACTTGCATGATGTCACATCTGGTATCACAGCCCATGTTTTCAGCTGATGTAAACTGAAGTGATGTCTGTAGAGGTTATGCTTAGCTGAACATCCAAATCAAAATATTGAAAAGAATATATTTTTTCATGTTTGTATCAATTGCTTCAGTACATTGTAAGTTTTTGGTCTGGTTGGTTTTTTTAATCGATGGAAATTATGTGGGACTGTGAATATTTTTTCAATTTAAAAAAAAAAATATTAAATAAACTGAAGGAATAAACTGACATTATGAAAGTACTTAAATTAAAATTTCATATTCTGCCTGTCATAAAAGATAGAGCTATTGGACAAAAGGAATCAAAAACACTAACCTGTGTATTTTATTCATTAAAATTTTCACCTCTATTTAAAAATCTGAAATTTTTTTCCCTCCAAAGAACTTCGTTCCATAGAAAAGAGGAGGAGAGAAAAATAGAAAGAGAGGAAAACAGAAAAACTCCTCAAGTTTTCAAAATAAGAATAAAATTGGAATTAGTCCGTATCATTACAGAAAGAACAAGAAATTATTAAGAAATACTGGGAAAATCAGTTCCATGTTAATCTGAATGTTGAACACTCATAATTAATTGAAACTGCATTGTCGTATTTTGCCTTCTCAAAACCAACCCCTAACTTAATCAATCAGCCAGGCCTGCCAAGCAAAGCCTACCAAAAATTAATACCCTTAAACAGACCCAAATTACCAGGCTTAATCACTAGATGAGGTTAATTCTGTAATTTACACAACATAGATGGTTAGTTTCTATAACCTAATAGATTGAGAGGTCTCTTCTGAGCATGAAACTGCGAACTAATGAATTCCAGACCTTTTTATGCTTAAAAGAAATGCACAGAAATAGAGCTGAAAAAAAAAGCTTTACAAATGGAAAAACTTAGAGTGGATTATAATCAAAGTTCTGTTCTATGATAAAATACTGATAAAACTGCTAAAGGAAAAGTCAGTGCATAACAACACAAATTGGTTCAATTATATATAAAAATCATTTTTGACAGACACAGTATGCCTGAAAAAGAGTAAGTTTGCCATTGGGTTGCATTTTAACTTAATTACTCAGCAGCCAAATAAGGGTCTGGACATGTAAACTTAGTTCTTGTTATTCTCAGTATAAAGAGTTGTTGGGAAATTGTGTCAGAATAATAGTAAGTCTTCCATAAGGGTTAGTTGCTGAGTCTAAGTCCTCTGAATTTCAAAGGACATGCGCTGCAGTGGATAAGGGAATGCAAAGGTGGACAGGGAAACAAGGAGATGTCAGTGAATGTCTTTCATATCTATGCAAATTTCTGTTAACATTAAACACTTGACAGGGGAAAAAGGTGCTGCATAGAAAGCTGGACCTTTAAGAGCCTTCAGCACGATCATATCCAGCTGCTACCCAACCCAAACAGAAAGATTCCTGTTTGCTGCTCGGCTGACTGGAAGCAGCCTTTGGCACATGTCCAAGCACAGCTCCAGTTTCTGCGTCTGCATCCCCAGCAAGAGACTGGAGCTGTTCTGTGGTTAGCTCTACCTCAGCTGAGAAAAGCACTGGGCTGTCATTTCCTGGCATTTTGCTGAGAAAAAAATGGAAAATACTGCTTGTGCTGTGGAAGTGGAAGGTTGAGATCAGAGCCAGAGGGGTTCTGATGCTGCTGTCAGTCAGAAAGGAACACTCTCCACAGTACCCGGTGCTCTGGGACCCACTGCCCTCAAACGAGAATAACACTGCATAGGTGCCTGGTGGGGACCTGATGGGATATCTCCCAAGACCATCAAGAATTGAAAAGAAATGTCTTTTTCCCAAGGGAGAGACTCAACTGACTGTTTTCCTGAGATGCTGTGAGGAAAGGACTATGAGAGGCTGAGGCAGATGTCTCACAGGACGTTATATAAGCAGAACTAATAATTTCACACCAGGTTCCTAGTTTTTATGTGGAACTACACTAATTCACTTAATAGTACATGAAGTGTTACTGATTAATGTGTCATTTGGAGGGGGGAAAAGGATAAGGTAGGAAAAGGAATCTGTCAGAGGTTTCTCAGGGCTAGTTTCTCTGCTGGTTACATGATCCTGAACAAGTTAGAGGATGCAAATATGTACTCCAGGAGAGAAAAAGAAGGAGAAAACATCTTTTAAACTTTCCAAAGTTTAGGAGTTTTTATAAACTATGTGAAATTTACTAGTAGCTGAGAAACTGGAGAAGTAATCCAGTATTATGAAAACACTTCTTTTTTCTTAGTGCAGTTACCAGAAACCTGTTCTAAAGACACTAGATGGCAGTGACAGCTTTACTTCTCAGAGATTCTGCACAAAACCAAGGATGACATGGTGGGTGAGAAAGCTACAGCTAACTATAGTGAATTCTTACATTTGGTGAAGATATAGAAACCTCCAACACTAATAAGTAGAATTTAATAAATTATTCTGTCGAAATGTGGACCTCTGAGTAACAAGTTAGGATATTGTAATGTTCAGGAAACTTCTAGATATATTCACTGTCAGGACTACTAATTTTTTAGTCTTTTCTCGAATTTAGTGCAATACATTTAAAATAGTATGCTCATGTTCTAGGAATAATGCAATCCCTAGGAATAGTGCAATGTCCTAGGTATAATGCAAAACCTCATTCACTGGAAAATTACTCATACTCATACATGTTCCAGCTCCTTGGGAACATAGCCTTTGAAGATACTTACTGAGTCTGGGGAGGAGAACTTACTGTTTCAGTATTTTGCTCAGATTGAATTAAACAAGGGTCTAGACCTCAGTCTTCAGTCTAGGAGAAAGAATTGCACATTCACTTATGTTGTGATGAGTGTCTGTTCATCTGTTCTGCCGGAGATATTTTCCCTTTACAGATATACAATTAAACAGTATTCTTTGGAAAGGCTGACAGCCCACTAGCCAGAAAGCTCCTTTGGGATGTAGGATCAAGACCTTCTGTCAATTATATTTGGGATTTTTTTGCACAAAATGGAATTTCTACACACACAGTGAGTCCACACCAGTTTTTGGTTTTGATGTTTCTACTGTTTCTCATTAAAACAAATGTTTCCAGAGAAAACCTCACTAGTTCTCCCTAAGATGATGCAGAGGGTACAAAGCCCACAGAGACTCTGTCTGGCCTGGGATCTTCCTCTTTTCTACCTAACACAATCTTCATATGGTTGGTACATCTGTTTGAGTCACAGCCTTTTGATAACACACAGCACTTTGAATTTCCAGCCAGTGCTGTTCAGGAGTATCTCTGGCATTCACTTCACCTATCCCTCAACTTTGTACACCACATCTCTCATGTGCTGTGCTACACAGGGTGCACTCTTAGTCACAGAAAATGAATGAAAGAACATTTTCCATTAAGTAAACTCTTACCAGGCAGCAGACAACCAGATTTCGGTGTCTTACTTACACGTCATATAACAAATTTCATACTGCCATAATAATACAGGATGATGCATTTCTCTGTATATCTGACTGAGCCGTCCAAATTTTGTCTTGACTTTTTGCAGAGACTACACTAGAGTCCTACCACCGGGCAGGAGGAGGCTTATGGAGTAGTGTACTCAGAATGGTCATATCCATACTCTGTAGTCTCTGCTGGACCTCACATGATCCCATTCTGCCTTTCTTAGAATAGGCAGATAGGCTATTTCCAGGGTCAAGTGTTGCTTTCTCAGCCCAAATGACATTAATAAGACACGTCACATCACAGGGATTGCCTCCCTAGGAAGAAAAATTCCTTTTTGTATTTGCATGGTTTTTGTTGTCTAAATATATCTTCACAGGAACACAAAAGTGATGCAACTCTCTTCAGAGCCTGCCATCCTAAGAGGAACCTGTGGGATCCTCTTGGGAACCAGCTGTGTCTGAAGTGTCTGGAGTTCACAGTGTCCTTCCCACTATTTATTTATCTAGCAAATGTCCTTTTCAGACTCAGCTTGGTCCGTCTCCTGAGCCATGTCCCCCATTGTGTCCCATCCTGAGCAGGGTAAGTAGTTCAAGCACTGTCAATAGTGCTTGACAGCAACAACCGTGCAGTTACTTGGAGAGCATTAGGGATGAAGCAAGTGCAAGCAAGTGCAGTTTAGAGGAGGGATCCATTCTAGGGAGTGATTTTGCCTATGCTGTTTGCTGGTGTCCCTTAATTGGTCCAGGCAGACAGTCCATAGTCTCAGTCAGGAAGGACATGAGCAGTTGTAGCTTTGGCTGCTGGAGTCAGTGCTGTTGGTAGAGGAACTAAAATAATTTAGATGGCTTTTGTAGATAACCATGACTTCAGGGTCTCAGCAGTCAAGGCATACCCTGCATATACATATGCCCTTGCCCATGGCAGGGTGTTTGGAACTAGATGATCTTTAAGGTCCATTCCAACTCAAACCATTCCATGATTCTATGATTCTATTATTAAATAATGCTTCCAGGCTGTTTCCAGGTGAATCAGGTGAATTCAAATTATTAATCTTACCCCTGGCCCGAATGATGTGATCTTTTGCTATAGTGCGTGGGTGATATAAGAGCAAGTAAATCATGCAGAGCTGCATGAGGGACTTGAAAGATAGCCATGATGCAGAGAAGACAAGAAGAGGCAAATACCAGTAAAATTTGGTCATGGAAAGCTACAAGGACCCATGGAATAAAATGTCATGTTTGAAGTCTCCCAAGGCAAACTGTGGTACAGGTGTCCTATGACCATTAGAAGGTGCCTGGAGAGCCATGAAGTGTGCTTCAGCAAGGCACAGCCTGATGAAGTGACTCACCAGGGCAGTGAGGATGTGGCCAGGCCACTTGATGCACAAAGTAAAT